GTTGTAGTGGGGACCACTTTTGAAAGTGTAGGTGAATTGCAGGTGTGTATGTGGTAATTGCAAAAGTTGACGTGGCACAGTTGAAAGTGTTGTAGGTGAATTGCAGGTGTATGGAAGATAATTGCAAAAGCTGATGTGGCACAATTGAAAGTGTAAATGGATTGCAGGGATGTGGATGGTCTTAGACTAATTCATGTCATCTATATTTGTACAAACCGTACAAACCACTTTTATCCGTCGATTTTAATGTTTAATTTAATGATTTTGTTTCATGAAATTGTTTCATAATTTTTTTTTCTAGATGAGGTTGTTTCATATATGGTTATGAAATTGTTTTGTAAAATACTTATCAAATTTTTTTTCATGTATTTTTCTTTAAAATTAATATAATAAAAATAATAATATCAACGAATAACACCCTCCACAATATGAATGATTAATTAATCTCTCATAATTATAAAAACAAATGAAAGAAAAAAATAAAAAATTATAATTGATTAAATGAGATTTGTACAGTCTGTATAAATAACATAGTTTGCAATGTAATAACAATAATAATAATAATATTATTATTATTATTATTATTATTATTATTATTGTTATAAAAAGAAGTAGATGGATAACAATAAGCATATAAATCCATTAAAAAGGACAAAGATGAAAAAAATGACAACATCATTCAATTACTTGGATTCATGACAAAACAAAATAATACCACCAAATCAATAGGCCAAGCTCGCTATCTATAAACCTAAACTAAAAACCAAAACAACACTTGAATTTTGTACAAAAATGATTAAGAGACTCTTATAATATAGTATAAAATTAAATATAATTGTTTGGTAATTATTCATAATGAAATTAGGATGCTGAATGATTAACAGAGACCCAAGATACAAAATCATTCAAAATGTTTTAGAATCATTAAGAGACAAAATTTTTTTTGTCAAACAAGATTACCTCATAACGATTCAAAGGCTACCTCTGTCTTTTAATAAAACTATTAAAAGGTAGATAAACAATCCCTAACTGCTTAATACGTCTAATTAAACACCCACTAAATTTGGACATACATAGAGGTATCAAGCAAATGTTATAAAAAAAAGAGATAGTTATGTAAATGCAAAGGGTACATAAATAAATAAAATGATAATATAAGAAAGAGAAAAATAATGTATCTGTTTTATATTGGTAAGAATTATCCCCAATAAATAAGGATAATAATAAATATTATTTAATTAGGTATGCAAACGTAACGATAAACCCAAAACTTAAACAATCCATAATTCAATTTAACCTTAAGTCCATAACTAATTAACTATTATGGATATTTGTTACAACATGTTTTTTAAATTAATGCTCTTTTCAAACAAGAAATTTGTTTTGTTAGAAACAGCAATTTTATTAAGAAACCGCCGAGGCTTTTCAAACAAGAAAACTAATACACTAAAATCAACAAACATAACTTATATATGTCTTTGTATAAATTAAAGGTATGAAAAGCTACAATCTATACACACTTTTTTTTATCTGAAATCATCATAGACGTTTCAATTTTTTTTGGACGCTAATCCTAAACGATCAATAATCTGAACCTAACCTAAAACTAAACCATTAATAATTTATATCTAAACATAAATAATTTAGGCTATAGTTTTACACAGATCGATGAAAATACCTTAAATATATGTAAAATTGAACCCCAAAATTTTGGAAGCTCTGTTCAAAATCTCGCATTTAACATACAAATAAACGTCCCTAAAAGTTATAAATGCTCTTACCAAGTAAGATTTCCAATCGTTGTGTTCATCCGATAAGATCAAAAGTTATAGTCCCTTGGAGATTTTCATATTTTACCATACACTGTTAAAGGGTTGTTTGTTTACCTCTTAATAATTCCAATAAGAGACGGTCTCTGAATCGTTAAAAGGTGAATCTTGTTTTAAAAAAAAAAAGATTTGCCTCTTAATGGTTCTAAAACCCTATGAATGATTTGTATCATGGGTCTCCCTTAACCTTCCAACATCCTAATTTTATTGTAAACGATTACCAAATAATTATATTTCATTTTATACCATTTAATAATACTCTGACCACCAAATTATTTTATATCAAACCATTCACCAAATGTGAAACACACCTGAAACACAAAAGTCTTCTAAGTCAATGAGACTTGTATGATAACACCAAAAAAACCATTGTGGAAAAGATAATGGTGTAAAAGAAGAGTAGTATAATAATTGCAAGTTTTGTAATGGATTAATGTGTAACCATCCAACCAAATTCCTGCAACTGATAGTGACCACCTAATAAAGACTTGTATGAAAATAGGTGTGGAAAAGAATAATTACCCACGACGGCAACCAGATTTGATCCACCCACAACCCACATTTAAAAATCAATAATAATTAAATAATATTTTATTTGGGGGAAAGAGTCGAATAGGAGAGGACGTACGTATTTGTTGGTAAGAAGGACAAACTTATCTCTGTCAAGATTATCAACTCATATTAACATGTACACTGGCGTTTTTTGAAGATTTACAGATTGGGCAGACGTTAATGGCGGATTCACACACAGAACAGATGCACAGATGTCTGCAGGGAAGCAGTAATACGCATGACTCCATTTTCCCACAATTTCTGCACCATCTCTTCAGTTTCCTGCCATTGTTGTCGCTACTGCTGCTGCTTCGACAGTACTGAGAATCAACATCATTTCCTTCGTTTAATTTCTTTGTTGTTGTTACGGTTACTCCTTCCGCCGTTAACGGCGCCGGTTGGTGGTGGTGGTGTTCTTCATCGTAATTGCTTCCGCAACAGGATTGAACGTCGTCGACGGTGGTTTTATCTGCCCAACCGTTTTGCTGTTGTTGTTGAATTTGTGTTAGTATTCGATGGAGATTGCGACGTAGAGCGTTGGCGGTGGCTTCGTTTGTTTGAGCCATTTGTTGCCATATCTGATTCTCGACGCTTAGAGATTTTACTTTTTCTTCTAAAACAGAATTCAACTTTCCTATTTTGATGATTTCCTCTTCTTTCGATCTCAGTCGTTTGTTGATTCCTTCCTCGGCTGCTGCGATTAATCTCATCGAGTTTCTCCTTCGCGTTGCTTCGATCTCCGATCTCACCTTCTCCGTCTGTGAAAAGAAATTAAGAATTCAACAGTATGATTTGATTAGAACATGTTAAGATGAACAGAATTTGTAAGCAATAAAAACAAGTGGATTAAGTAATGGATTCAACAGTATGATTTTGATTAGAACACGTTAAGATGAACATAATTAATAGGCAATAAAAACAACTGGATTCATACATGATTAGCGACAAAAACAGTATGATTTTATCAAGTTAGAGACGTTAAGATGAAGAGAATTCGTAAACAATAAAAAACAGTTGGATTAAGTTATGAATTCATACATGATTCGCGATAAACCGATCAATCTCCATTTGTTGTTGATAGATCTGCATGGAAACATCCTGGCCGAGAAACGTAAACACTCCTTTTTGATTGTTCATCACCTGATTCTGATCTACAAACTGAGCATTCGGAAACGATAAACCCGAGGGATCAAACGAAGACGATTCACGTGATCGTTTCCTCGAAATCGGAAGACTGTAAGTAAGTCCACTATCGGCCTTCAAAGCCACCGCCGGTACCGTATCCATCATTCCATTCGAAACATACATCGGAAACATCCCATTCTCCATCTGCGCCATTCCATATCCAAATTTCGCATCGTTTCCGTACACATTCTTGTTTCCTTGATCAATCATCTCTCTAAACAACATCAATAAACAAAAAATTAACAAACAACTCCAAATTTCCAATAAGAAATCAACAAATCAAAGAGCAAAAGAAAAACGCAAAGATACACAAACCTGTTGGATAGAAATTGAGGAGAGAAAAGATGTGAATGTGGAGGAGCTTCAACTGCCATGAAAAATCGAAACTGGTGTCCGTGATTTGGGGTTTATAGAGGGGTTTGATGGAAATAGAAAATGAAAATGAAAATGGTGGGGGGTTTTGGTGAATTTATGAGAATGGGGTTGTCCTTTGGTGTGACTTGACTGACAATAACCAACAGAAAAAAGGGTGAGGTGCGTAATTTAAGCAAAAATTGGGGGTGAAGCGATGGGCGAGGGTAGACAGTAGATGACACGTGGCAAAGGGAGAGGGAAACAAAAGAAGCAGTTGGGGACAAAAATTAGTACCCAATCTAAATGCTTTGCTCATGCTCGTGGGTTACGCCTTCCCCAACACGTGTTTCCCTTTCCCTACATCTATCTCATCTCCTGCCTCACGTTACCACGATTTTTACATATAATCTACTATACTATATTATATATATATATATATATATATATATATATATATAATAGGAAAAAGTCTAAAAAAAATTCAATGAATTTTAGTGTTTGGAATGATTAAGTTTTTTGATAATTTTTTGGAACAAATAAGTCCTTGAACATTCCAAAACATGTTAAATAACTCATTGGATAATTTTTTGGAACAAATAAATCATTGGACAATCCGAAACGAAAATTCAGGTTTTCGAGGGAATGAACCAGTGACGGACCTATAGTGATGCATAGTATTAATATGTGCAATCATATTAATCTGTTGTGTGCCATCATATGTATTTTGAACTACAATAAGAACATGTTTTATTTGGTAAAGTTGGTTTACAATACTTTTATTCCACCCGAGACCCAAGTTCGGATCATGTAAGTGTCATTTTCCTAGCAAAATGGTGTCACCGATTGATAAAAATTATATACATTTGTTTCCTATAGTCAAACGGTGCTACTGTTTGAATTTTTTTCTAATAGTTTTTTTCTTTTAGTCAACTGGTGCTATTGTTAAAAAAAAAATTGGGTTCGTCCCTGGAATGAACCCATTATATTATGTAAAACCAAACAGTTAATTTTATCATCGTTCCTAATAATGTTGATTACTACTTAATAACTCTAACCAAACACCCCTTAATGTTGATATTAGAAAATAATTGAAACATTTATGAACAAGTATATTGATTCATTAATTATGAATTCAGATATATATATATATATATATATATATATATATGAAAAATGATAAATTCATTCATTACGATCTTGGTTTTACATTAGGGAAATAAAATGAAATAAGATGTTTATTAGAATAGATGAACGGCTAAGATTGAATTATTCTGTTATAACTAAATGATTATCCTAATTATATTTTAAATTTTTTATATTTAAAAGGGGATGTTTATCCTGTATTTGATTATGTTTATCTCCGGTTAGTTATACAAATTAAAAAATAGAGCTTTAATAAGTTATATTTATACATAATTTACTTGTAATCTTAAATTTAAGTAATATGCGTTAATAAACAATACTTCATGCATATAGAATGGTTTTTAAAAGTTCTTGTCAATTGTGTTACAATATAACTAGAATGGTAATCGCAAAATATAGCGAGGTACATCTCGATTTTAATCTTTCGTTTTTTTTTTGTCTCAGTCGATATTATAATACGGTTTTATGTAGTTTAGAGAAAATGATAATGTTTTTATTTTTGAATAAAGTATAACTATGAAGATTTCATAAAAATTGAAAAAAATTTGATATTAGTACCAAAACTAACTATTTAAAATTTCTCGTTTTTTGGTGTATTTTTTAAGTTCCTTTTTTTTTTAATTTTTGGTTTAATAATATATTTTTTTATAAAGTAATAATTAAGTATTTTGTTAGAAGTCAATGATTATTCTAATTACATTTTAAGTTTTTTATATTTAAAATGATATGTTTATCTTGTATTTGATTATGTTTATTTGCAGTTAGTTACACGAATTCAAACATGAAGCTTTTATTAGTTGTAATTACGCATAATTTACTTGTGATATTGAATTTTAAGTAATATACATCAATAAACAGTTATCACGCATAAAAAAAAGTTTTAAATTTTTTATTAAATATTTTATAATATAATATAGATATAAATATATAAATATAATAATTTAATAAACAATTATTTAAATATGATATACAAAATTAACATGTCATTTATCATAAATAGTTATGCTCAATAAACACTTCATTTATTAAATCAACATTAATGTTATCTTGGATTTTTTTTTTTTTTAAATGATTCTTTTTTTCAAATATATACAAATCACATTAATTTCAACGTTATGTTTAAAACCAAGTTATTATTTTTAATGTTTAAAAAATAAAAACCAACAAAAAACTCTTATAATCAAACTGTTTTCTATTTATATGTGATTCCCTAGTAATGCTCAAATGTCGTTATATTTGGAACATATCGATGTAACGAAAATCATAAGAGTGGTGTTTGATTGATTTGAGTTTGGGCTTCAAAGGTTGAAAGTGCTTGAACGTCCCAAGTTCGAATCCAAAGAAAAATAAAAATAAAATCTTGTGACCATGGAGGTTCAAATGCGATGACTTCGAGCTACCCGTGAAACAGATGGTCGCCCAGGAACAGGAACGGACCTAGGTTTTTTTTCTTCAAACGGTGGCACTATTTGACTAAAAAAATGACACTAATAGAATTCGATTTGGGTATGAGATAGAATAAAAGCCTTGCAAACCAACTCTACAAAATAAAACTTTTTCTCATTGTAGTTTCAAAATACATACGATGACATATAACAAATTAATATGGTTACACCTTTCACAAGCCTAAATTTTTTTACCCTTCGATGGTGGAATAATACGGTGGCACGTGCCACCGTATGCACCACTATAAGTCCGTTCCTCTTCTATATGGAAAATAATAAGGAAAGATAACTTAACCCTGCCCACCCTTATGTGGCCCCCCTGCCCCCAACTTCTTTGGGTGCTGACGTTCCTGGAACACACCTCTACTTAAATTCAAACACAAAAAGCAAGAAAAGAACATATGTAACGATGGATTCAAACGCATGTTCAACTTGATTAACGTAAATGTAGACCCATATTCAAACATAAGGGTAAAATCAGAAGATTGAAATCGAGATCTCAGTATAAAATTAAAAACAAAAACGTGCTAATCGTTATTGAAAGCAAATGAAAATGTCGTTCATTGTCCCAAGTTATTTACAACTAAAATGGAAGCAAGAACCGTTGCAAACAAGCCCACTTGTCTACTGTAAAACATCATAAACCTACTGAGATGCCTTAAAATCGAAATTGATTTCTTTTGCTTTAATGGAGGAGGGAGGGGTTAATCAAAACAACAACAATGAAGACGCCTTGGATTTGCTCCGACGAACCTTAAACTCATATTTACATCAAGACTCTGGTTTATGGTCAGTTACGTGTACGCTCGTATTTTCAAATGAAAAACCAACAAAAATCTTAAAATGCCCCTCACTTAACGACAACATCTAACTGCTCCAACGTCTATGGAGGGTTTCTGCAACAAATTGAAACCCTGATGATATTCCCTGCAATTCCGAAAAGACAGGGATGAAAAGCAGAATTTTGATAATTACAAAAACATTTATTGTCCAAAAAGCAGTCTAAGTTGTGATTTTAAACCAATAACTATTAAGGTTTTATTTTATTTTATTTTAAAGAAATGTTATATAAATTGCATTAAAAAGATTGCATTTATTTTGTTAGAAACAAATAAAAAAGGAAAAGTAGTAATGGAGAAAGAGACGGTTGATGTTCATGAGAGCATGTGTTATGGGAATCCACCCAAAATACCCACTGCCATCCTCCATCTTCTTTCACAGCTACCACCCATATTAAATTAATCTTTACTCCCCTTCCCCTCTCTCTCCTTCTCAAAACAAACGGTTTGATTCAAAATGTAACTTATTACATTTGTACAATTAATGCAACCTAAAAAATTGAAATATATATGAAAATGACGAATACAGTTCATTAATTATGATTAATACTTTATATTAGAAAACAATCAAAACTTTTACGAAATTACATATTCATCAAATTAAATGGACGGTTGAGATTGAGTTGTATTTGTTGTACAAATGTAAGAGGTTGTATAATAATCCAGCTCTCTCTCTCTCTCTCTCTCTCTCTCTCTATATATATATATATATGGTTTGATTCACGTGAGACAAAATTGTTTCTTTAAAACACGTGAGACACGATTTTTACATTTGAAACTTCACAACAAAATGTTGTGAGGAAAAAAAAAACCGAATCTTCACAGCAAAAACACGGTGAATGTTACATTCATAGTGTTTTGCTATAAAGTTTCAAATGTAAAAATTGTGTCTCACGAAAACAGTCTTGTCTCACATGATTTAAAGTCTCTCTCTATATAATATATTATGAACATCTCTTAATCATTTTCTTAAATTAAGCACAAAACCAGGCATGGGTCATGCTCGTATACGAAGAAGAAACTATTTTCAATGGTAGGTGTCTAAGTAGGAGTCGAAACTTAAGGACGGTAATCGATCGATTACAAAAACAATAAATAAAAAAACGTCATTTTCATATGTCTTTCGTCGTGGTATCTAAAACGACACGACAAAAGATTAAACTTAATTAAATAATCGCACTGGGTTTGTGTTTTCATTCTTTTGACTTCTTTGCTCAATTTTTTTATATTTGCCGACTCTGCTTTATATTTCTGGTAGAAAACTTGATTGCTTTTCTTTGTACGCTCACGAGTTTTCAGTCAGCAGGGTCATGCTGGAGGGTGTTTCAATTCGAGATAAGAAACATGACCTCAAATAATCGTGGGCCCAACTACACATGTTTTTAACATTTACCTCAGTTATATACGTTTTAAATTTTAGTCCAAATATAATGATTTAGACTCTTACTTTTTTTAGCTGATTTGGCTATTCTGATTCAACTTTTGAGATGGTTCAATGCGCTCTGAGTCATTATGTGGATTCAGATTCAAGAACACATCAAAAGAATTACAAGGTTGGTTATCTTAACGTATGTCTACCTTTGACCTAGCTTAACCTGAGTGAAATAAAGGGGATGTTTGACAGTTGCTGAATGGTTTGGTGCAGAATGATTAAGAGGCTCTCATGATATACTGCAAAATGAAATATAATTATTTGGTAATTGTTTACAATGAAATTAAAGCTCTTAATGGTTAA